AATAATGGCATTTATAGACATTAGTGAGTACCATCAACTAGAAATGAAATTGATATTGAGAAAAGTTACTGAAATAAAATTCCGGAATTCAGGAGAAGTATAAACAAAGGCGATTATTGTCTATATGAGACATATCCTTCTTAGATATGACTACGTAATATGACCTAGATTTTTTTTAACATATATTACTAGCTATACCCAATCATGTGTTGCTATGTTACAAATCTAAAAAATCCAAACCAAAAGGCGATTTAATTAATCTAGTTATCAAGATGGGAAATAGCACAAGTATCTTTTGTAATTGATTGTTGAGCTGTATCAGGTGCAACACCGAAGGACATATCCCATTCAGCGTCAAAATATTTATTATGATGTCATACTGTGAATACCAACAACACACATCACAGTACATACGACATATCAAAAAACCAGCTATCAACATATGATCAGAAAATTTTCTAGTAATATAGAAATACGTTTATTCAATTTTTTTTAAATTTTTATAATTTCCTAAAAATCTAAACACAAATGCGATTCTGTTAATCTAGTTATCAAGATGAAAAACAGCGATTGATTGTTGAGCATCATATCAGCTAATGAACATATGTGTATTTTTTGACTTTCAATAAATATACTGTGGAAACCAAACAACATACATCATACCAAATATCAAACTATCAAATTATATGTTCAGAAAATTTTACAGTTATTGCTTAAAAATAGAAATTTGTTTATTCGCTATTTTTCTCCGAAAATTTTCATAAGTCCCTTGTTACGGAGTAATGAGAAATATGGGCTATTTTTACTTGAAATTATATTGTCATCTATATTTCCAAGTGAAAACCAATGTCACTGCTATTTGACATCAGGCTGACTAAAAGAGATGCCAAACACGGGTCCATGATTAAAATCTAGCATAGCTCTAACCAATAGTACCTTGGCAATTTAAAAAATAATACTGAATTCTGGATATTTCACTCAAAATATATCAAAGACATATTGCAGTACAACTTCCTAAGGATGAATGACAAGTTTGTATTTTGAAAACAAATGATTCATATTGTGTACATAAACTTGAATATTTGTTTTCAAATAATTTTTATTTAATAATATTTATTTTTTACTATATTTATTCTTTAATAAAGAATAACAAGAAAAGCGGTATGAATGGTAAACTTGACAATGAATGGAAATTTCCACCGACGTTTCATTGAAATTACTTTTAATAATATAAAATTAAATTATGAATAGCAGATTTCAAAAGCATTTTCCCTTTGGCAAGATTTTTTGCGCTATATTTTTTCAAAGTATATATTTTCTCAAATATATTATTAATTATGTTTCCTTCGCAATTCAAAGAGGATGTGAATTAAAAACGTTAATACACATACGCCAATCAATCTGGATAAGCAAAATATGAGAAAATCTAAAGTAATTTAATATTTCTATCATTATAAAAAGATTTGGTTTGTAATAAAATTAGTTAAAGGTCATTTGCGCACTCAACTTATAAAGTTCATACTAAATTCGTAGCTACATTTGAATAAATCATTTTAACCCCAAAATTATGAATATTGTAAAATAAATTAAATCTGGATCCATAGTATTAAGTATAATTTTCAGACAATTCTGAAAATGATCTATGAATTTTTTTTAATAAATGGAAACCGATATCAATAAAATAAATAAAGGCCAATGAAAAGTAGTATAATATAATCTGATAATATAAATTAAATAATAAATGAATGCAAAATAATGAAATATAATAAATAGCAACTGTTAAATAACAAATAATATCAAAAAATTAAATAATATAAAAAAATCATTTCAAATATGTAATAAGTAGTATCTAAATAAATAAATTTCAATAATAAATAGTAGTCTGAATAAATTAATATCAGTAATAAATAATATCAGCCCATAAAAAATAGTATGGTAGTATCTGCTAAGTGATAATGTAAATCTTGAATAATTTTTTGAATATTCATGGAAATTTTATGAATATGATCTATTTTATATTGTTTAATTATTTTCACTAGTGCAAATTTAAACCTTCAAAAAAATTGTATGCAATTTTATAAAAAGCTCTGAAAAGCACACGAATTTAAGGCATGGCTCTTGAATTTTCAATGTCAGATATAAGAATATTACAACTAGAAATTTTTAGGTATTCGATATCTTGAATTATTAGTGTCAGTAATAAGCATATATAGATATAAAAAATGTAGTTATTGCTTATTTGAAATTGAAAGTATTTATAAAAAACAGCAAATAGCAAAGTTATTCCGTCTGCAAAATTTATCAATAAATCAGTAACAAATCTTGATCGTCTTTTCACAATAAGAAATCAATAGTCTGTACATCGAGTAAATATATTCATGGCATTGCTACATGCGACATCAGTATTAAATTGCCATGAAACAGTTTTCCTTTGACGTATTGTACCGTTTGTTTGTTCGTCTCCCGGAATATATACATAGATATACAGAGGAGTGCCTTCAGACAAACCCCCAACTTCATGTACGTTTGCACAATAATGTTCCGATGCAGACATGTCTACGAAGAATATTAAATAGAATGTGCCTTTTATACGGAAAATCGAAGATGATATTCAAGGTAATACTATACTTCGTCTATACATCGCAACTATCTCCATTTACGAAGATTGGGTTTGAGTGAAATTAACGTGAGAATATTCTATTTTATGTATTATGCTCATTTTTAGTTATGTAATCGAATTATTATAAAATCAAATATACATTTCTAATTTAATATCAAATAGAAAACATAGAATTAAGCAAAACAATTAAATCAACTTAAAAAATCAAATGAAATAAGTAAGTGTATGCGTTTTTTGAAGTACTATTTTACTTTACTATACATAGTTTTGTATTATAAATAGTTTTGTAATCATTCGAAGCTTTAGAATAACTGATTCTGAATTCAAAATTTGTTCAACACTCAAATGTAAATTTTCATATAATATTTAATTATGCAAATATTTTATCTACAATAGGTAAACTTGTTATCTCAAAATAATATTGAAAACATTATAGAAAAGGTAAGTTTAACAATAATTCAAGTTAATTTAGGTCATGTAATAAGTACAAAGATAGTGTAATTTGAGCTTTTCCTAACTTCAACTAACATATTATCAATTCGATATCGATAGAAATATAAGCTCAAAATTGAATTATTGTACGTATTATATTAGATAATCTTTTTGATAAACGAGTATTATTATATTATCAAAATTATTTTAAATTTAGTTACTTATATACAAAAGTTCAGTGATGTTGCATTTATAATTATTATTTCTTGAATATGTAATATAACTTAATAAACAAATATTAACGACAAAGCTTAATATCATTATTATTCCATTTTGTTATCGGTTTTGTTTGTGAAAAGTATAAAAACTGTTGAACCATTTCACTAACTAGAAATGGAATGAACATGTAGTATATAAAACTTTTATGCTAAGACTTGATTGTAGTTGAAATAAAACTATGAAGCTGTTTTTGTTCTGACGTATTTTCGTTTTATTATATTGGCCATGAAGGTGACAATCTTCATGGCATTGACTCTTACACGGAATGGTTGCTACCCCTGGTAGAGGGGGTAGCGAATAGTTTGATAGGACTAATTGTTCACTTCTAAAAGTAAAGTGAAGCAAAACAACATGTAAAATAACCAACAAACAAATATATATTTTTCGCTTATAACTTAGTGACAAATCAGTGCTTATAATAAGAACTGCAACAAATACATAATAATATCAACAAATCAGTGTTTAATACATCCCACAGCTACGAGGGTTAAATTATAACCCAACAACCTGAGTTAACGAAGGAGAATTTTAATAAATTTCATAACTACGTAACATAAAAACAGTTTTAAATACAAAGATATTTCATTTGAAGTTAAATAGCATAAAAATGTATAGTGAATTTCACTAAAATCATTAGATTTCTAAACATTTGAAATAAACTACTGGAGGTATTACTATTCATATTTAATTGATGATAATGATGGTGATATCATCAACAATTTCTCTGATCTAATTGAGAAGAGCGATATATTGTTACAAAGAGTTTATACTAATTAAATTTATATGGGCATTAAAAGTAGTTTCAAAATTTTCTGAAAGAGTTCTTGTTGATACTCTATACAAAATCATCTATTAGATATATAATTATAAACAATCGAATAATGGTATATTTGAATTACGAATCAATTTTTAAGGAAAATACGAATATTTCTCCGTTTACTCAAAAGTCAAAAATTTTATTCAGTTCAACTGACGTTTTTCTAAATTCATTGCGTGTTGATTTATACAAAACCATATATAAAATTCATAATTACCAATATATTTAGTTTAAAAAAAAAACGCTTGTGATATGCCAATTTTGTAAAAATTGCGAATGTATTACGCTTTACTCAAAAGTCAAAGGTTGTATTTGATTCCACTGACATTCATAACATGATTTTATCTTTTACACACTGACAGTTTGTTTGACTCCTAATAATCCTCTTCATTAGCAATAAAAGTTTACACGACGATCTTAACACGAATTTATTAACACAATAAACAGTGTCAAAATTTTTTGAAAACTAGAACATTATTTAAATTCTACAAACCACTCAGCATTTTGAGACACAAATTTCAAGGAGACTGAAGAAGAAGCTGCCCAAAGATACCACAACTTTGTATATATAAAGAGAATTGTTATTTCACTCATTGTTGTGATTCTTCAACAATCGATATAGTATTTATTACAATAATTTATAAGTGTGTGAGTGGATGATATAAGCCAAAAAATTACTTTCATAACGTCATAACATGTGTTTTATTATAGTTATATCTCGTCAGTATGAAATGTAAATCACTTCAATATGTCCATACCAAAATTTCCAATCTAAATTAAGATGCTCCAATTCCGATACGCTTTATAGACGAGTACCAGAGTCGTGTGTCATTTGTAAATAATCTCACGTACCTGTGTGTTGTGCGTCCAGAATATTGCGGGCGGCGGCTCAGGCGAATGCTGGACAACGCACGTCAGATTCACAGTGCTTCCGGTGTTTATGTACATGTCCGGTCCGCCCACTATCGTCGTTATGGGTTCTGAGGACAAGCAATTTAGATTTAGTACGATACATTTAGAATTACATTAAGCGAACATGTATACATTTAAATTAATCAAAGTTACAGATGAAAGGGTTGATCTATTTTTTAGACATTTTGAATATTTTTATTCGTTTGAGTATACTGGAACACCCAATTCTCTAGCATTTATTTGTAAACTATCGTAATGAAGGTTATACAAAACTTATATACCCAACATGTCGAACACTATCTGACAGAAGTGCAAAAAGCTCCGAGGTATGTTCTAGGTAATATCCTGATAAAATAAAATTTACGATGAAAAAATAAGAAATTTATATTTATATTGATAAAATAACCATAGAAGATACTTTACTTAATAAAAATAACTCAAAGTTCGAATATTATTCACTTCCAAAATTTATGTCAAAAGTACAAGGCGTCTCCACCGGAAAAAGCTCATAGCATAACGACTTTGTGCAATGAAATATTTTTTGACTACACAAGTAATTATAAAACTAAGTTAATGATTTAAAAATACCATCAAGCTATTTTGGCTTTATATTTTTATTATATTTATAATAATTTACACCTATGTAAGAACAACAAAGTGTTTAGTCAAAAGTTCAATTTATGCTTCAATGTTGACAAACTTTTTAAAATGTGTTAGTGCAATCATTAATCAACACTTTTAGCATTAAATCAATATTATATGTGAATTTCAGTTACCTAGGTAAGCAAAATGTTTTCTAAAGCAATCTCACTCGAATTGTCTCTATCTGAATTTCCACTTTTGTTCGAAACGTTCGCGTGTTCATTGAGCATTACATGACTGAGATAAAACTATCAACACATTACAATACAACTAACGAATGCGTTTTCAAGCATAAAGATAAAAGCGGTATATTATTGTCGAGTGAAATCATTTTGAATTTTGTTATTCTCTTGTATTGCTAAATGTGTCTACGATTTGTTGAAATACTAAATTTACTTATGCACATTCAGAACAAAAGATAATCGAATTCTTCAGCAATAAAGAAATTTGTTGTGTAATATTTGCATTGAACGTTATTTATTTAAATTTTTTTTTTTTTTAGAAAAAAATTTAAGAAATCTTAAACTATATCATAAATAAGAGTAATTTTTAAAAAATACTATTAGTAAGAGCAATAATGTTATATATCATATTATTAGCAAAGTTTTAACCCAACTTAAGTGATAATTACTTGATCATTCGATGAATAACTTTATTAGACGCCATGAATATAATAAACCTGGATTGTATATTTATCGAACTTGGAAATTGCAAATGGTGGTTTGGTCGCTATCCTCCTTGTTATATTAAATTAATTTCTGGACGAATGCCAATGCATTTGTTTGTGCAGTGCTCGAGAGACACACGAAATGAAATTAAATTCAGTGAACTAACAAATCATAAGCAAACAATATTCGATTTAACAATGTAGAACAAACACTGATATATTGGAAAATAATTATAAAAATAAATTTCATGTTTCGAATTCGGTAGAACATTCATTGAATCGTAATTTATTGCAGTGATTGAGTTGCCGTTGTCATTGTTTTTTGTAATGCCATCATTAGGGAAATACAATTTTGTTAATTTCTTGTTGGAGATAAATATAATAAAATTAGTGACCATTATCGAAAAATGCAATCAAGGTATTGAATACGCCTTGGAATTATAGCTTGCATTATTCTGGATGTATTTTTGTTAAATTGTTAATCTATTGTACTATTATGTAAATTCTCAAACTAATTTCAATTAGTGTATGGTCTACCAAATACTCAAAAAACGAAATCACCCTTAATCCAATTAGTTTGCATATAATGCGTACTACCAAATAATAATACTACATCAACTATTTTATCATTAACATTACATACAAGCCGGTAAGTGTAAAACATTAACAAATGTACTGCATTACTAACACTTATGAACAAACAATTGTAGAGAGTACTAAAGCCCATTAATCAGGTGGCAGAGAACGATTATTATTCAGTAGAGCTAATTGGCCATCGATTTATCAGCAATTATTTCGGATGAATACATATCGATCATTCAAGAGCATTCAAAGCGAGCGGGATCGAGGGCAAATACTAAATTAAATACTTTGAAATTCTGATGTAATGATTAATGACGCATTTCATATTATACACGGAAATATTTCATTAATAAACCGGTGCGTTGGCCACAGAGTTTATTTGATTGGCCTGCGAAATGATCAAATTTGTTGGATGAATCCAAATAGTTATATAAATATAATATACAGAAATAGATTATGCCTGAAAATTCATTAATTTGCCTAATTAAACGTGCATAAAACAGCACAATTCATTCAAACTTTGCATTACATATTGTATAGTCAATTTTTTTGCCTTTGGTGAAGATTTTATATTTAATCGAACTCAAAAATATCTAGCAGTATAATTGACGAGGTAGTACTCAATCATTTTAAATTACTAATTCTTATTCATCATAGACTAAAATAATATGAAACAAATAAATATCTTTACAATTTTTTAAACTAATAGATTTTTTTGTGACAAAATAAAACATTGATAACTAATTATAGTCCCTGTATTTTTAGCTAGAAGTTGTTAACTATATTATAGTGAGATATATATTTTGAAATAGATTTTATAAAACTATTTATGAATCATACTACATTACTTGATTTAAAACATTTAAAATTGAAGGAAAATCAGTTGTGATAACTCTGGATGAGCAAAAATATTTTAAAAGATGAAATTCGACGAACGTTAATATCTTTGAACAAATGTATAATTGCACTATAAAGACAATCTTTTTTGTTAACTACAGGAAAAAAATATCATATACATAGTACAGGATACTAAATCATGAAACCATTTTTAAATAATATCAATTCAAAACCAAAACTTTATTGATTTGTTGGTCATACTATTTTCAAGTACATTTTCATACAAATTGTTTTGTACCCCCTAGCATTACAATTTATTTAAAAAAAATTGTGATCGTATGCTTAATATGAATTTACTAAATAAATTAAAAAACAAGCGAATAATGTTGTCAAACATAAGAGGTTCTTATAGAACAGTCCATAGTTTATTGTGAAGAATTTGTATTATACTACTGAATAGACTTTTTTAACTGAAAATAAAATGAAAAAACTTAGATTAATGTTATGGCAAGGCTATATCACATAACGTTTTTCATACAAAATGATACTAAATAGTGTCAAGCTGCCATGAGATGGCTCTGCACTCAGGAGTTCTATATAGAAAACCTAAAATAAAAAACGCAAATATGTTTTCATAACTTCATCTTTGTGATGTGGTATGATAACATATGAGTGAAGTTGCGTTTTAGGTGTAAAACCCTTGCTCGCACAGCAAAAACATGAAATTTTGACAGTATTTAGTACCATTTTTATAAGAAGCGTTACGTAACATAGCCTTGCCATAATATTGGTCTTTTCCGAAGCAGAATTACCCCCTTAACTTTATTTTTAAGTTTATGGAAATCGATAAATTTATAAAAAATAATTTCCATCTTTATTAAAAAAACTGTGGAAATGTCATGACATTATTTTCTTTACATAAATCCGATACCATTGCTGAGTTGATTTTCATATACTCCTCGCTCAGCCTTGACCTCAAACAGGTTGAATTTATTTCATGGAAAGTTCATTCTGACAAATTTAGGCGGAGAAAAATGAGAAAAATAATTTAATTTGTGAACATTAAATAAAACTAATATTGCAATCAAAATTTAAAAAATCAACCGACTGCAAAACTTTTTTTAAAATTATTACTAATAATTGATATGACTATGACTAATTGTACATCTGAAAATTGGACTGCCAATGGCTATGCTTGTATTTATTTCTATTTTTTATTTTCAACTTTTCCTTTCTTCCAGACTGTACTCCACACATCACCAAAAAATCTTTAAGAAGCTTCAAATCTCCATAAATCATAATCCATTAAGCGAAACGATCCATTCCGAGCAACAAGTCCCTTGACATTTATACATAGCCGTTCTTATAGGTTTGAGTATCTTCTTGCAGTTCTCGACGAATGCATCCTTTGTCAGATGCGCGTCCATCCATCTTTGCTGTCGCCGTCGGACGTTTAGAACAATGCTCCGGATCTCCCGGATCCCCCGGAGTCGGATCACCTATCCTCTCCTGACGACTGCTGGCGTCTCCTAAGTAATGTTTTTCATTTATATGCTCGACTGGCTCACCAGGCTTTCGCCCAGGAGAGTCGAGTCGTTGCATAACTTATATTGCACATTCACCACACTATATCCATTTGATAATAGGGGATCTGGTATACTGGTATTTATACCAATACTTAATCTATATTAGGTTCTATTATTGATTCATTAAGATCAGTAGTTATCAAAATATCTAATAATTTGATAAGCATATGTATCATTTTGGACCGATATTTGTTTTTACTTTTTTCTCTGTATCTCCTAAACCGATGAATCTGTCTTCCAACAACGTATTAAATTCTTCATGTTTGTTTAGCACGTCATCGCATCAATAGAAATCTAATTATTTTTGAATCTTTTAAATCGTGCACCCAAAATCGTAGACAAAAAATTGTATCCAAACATACATATATACACACACAAGCATACATTCATTTTTCCTAACATATGCCGAAAAAACGTTCAGAAACCTTTGCAACGTTAAGAAATGCAAAATTTTTGATTTTCTTCATACTTTCATACTTTGTAAACAATACCTTTTTAAAAATAAAGTATTTTTCTCGACTTTGTCCACAGTAACAATTTAGTGTCGCTCTACTGAACTATTACTTTTATTAATAATTATCACACGCAATGTTTTGCTCTTGATTTTTAGAGATTACGAAAAATTAATACTCATTTTTTATTAAAGCCTTTAAAATGTAGAGCATTGGATGTACCACTTCTCATCAAATAAATCGTTCATCTTGTTATCTCAAAAAAAAAAGAAAAATAAAGGATATCTCATTGAAGACAAACT